AAAAGGTAGGTGGGATAATTTAGGAAAAGCTGGCAAGAAATAAGCCAAGCTAAGGCTGGGCATTCATAAGTAAGAATAAGCATTTTTACTTGTTCTGTGTATTTATTTGAGAGCTGGGTGGTGGGCTCCCAAAGAGTAAAAACAACAACAACAACAACAACAACAAAAAAGCAAGCAAACAAAAAAAACCCAACTATACACAACTGTCTGCAACCAACTCCAGTTGCAGAGCACCCAGCATGCTCACACCATGCTCATGAAATAAAAATACGTAACATTTTACAAATTATGTTATGCCTATGAGTGATTTGCCTGCATGTATGTCTGTATACCACATGCATGTCTGGTGACCAGAAGAGAGTGTTGGATCCCCTGAGACTTTACAGACAGTTGTGCTCTTAGCCGCCAAGTCATCTCTTTAGTTCCCTTTTATTTCATGTTCAAGATGCCAAGAGCATGTAGTGGCGGCATATGCCTTTAATCCCTGTACTCTGGGAACAGAAGAAAGCGCATCTCTGAGTTCAAGGCCAGCCTGGTCTACAGAGTGAGTTCTAGGACAGCTAGGGTGGTTACATAGAAAAACTCTGCCTCAAAAAATCAAAACAAAACAAAACAGAACTGGAGAGATGGCTCAGAGGTTAAGAGCATTCACTGCTCTTCCAGAGGTCCTGAGTTCAATTCCCAGCAACCACGTGGTGGCTCACAACCATCCGTAATGAGATCTGGTGCCCTCTTCTGGCCTGCAGTCATACATGCTGTATAAATAGTAAATAAATCTTTAAAAACAAACAAACAAACAAAATGCCAAAGCCTGAAAACACCCCACTAGCAACAGTGTTACCTCAGCCTCCCAAATGCTGGGATTAAAGGCATGTAACTACATCACCCGAGGCATTTCTCTGCTTGGATTGCATGCCGACCGACCTGCTCTCGGAGTCAGCCCCTGAAGAACTCACCACAAGGTGCGCAGCCTGCAGACTGGGTGTCTCAACCCTTGACACAGCAGCTTCAGTCCCAAGTCCTCCAAGGGGTTTCCTGTCAGGTCCAGCTCCACCAGATGTGAGTTGTTGCTGAGAACAGAGGCGATCGCTCCTCCAGCTGTGGCCTCCAGAAGACACTTCCTCAGCCTGGGAGACCGTGAAGAGGCTGCCATGTCCTGACCCATATGCCCTGTCCTCTTTAGTCACCTAACATGAGCCTATGTGGTTTTTTTTCTCTTTCCTATGTGGTTGGGTTTTTTGGTTTGTTTGTTTTGCTTTGTTTGGTACCACCAGGCTAGTGTGGAACTCGGAGATTCACCAGCCTCTGCCTCCCAAGTGCTGGGATTAAAGGTGTGCACCACCACACCTGCCTTCAAACGACTTTTAAAGAATCTGTTGGGCCTGGGTGTGATCATGCACCCCTCTAATCTCAGCACTGGGGAGGCAGAGCTCTGCACATCGATCTCTGTGAGTCCAAGGCCAGCCTGATCTACTTAGCAAGTTCCAGGTTAGCAACAGCTACACAGTGAGACCTTGTCTCAAAAGACCAAGTCAAGTTTAGCAACAAAAATTAAAAAAAAAAAATCTATCTACCTTTTCTATGTTTTTTTTTTTCTGTTCTTTTCTTTTTTAAATGAAGCTTTTGGGGATAGTGGGAAAAGGGGGACTGGGTTTTGATCTGTGCAAGTGATATACACACGGAAATATACGGAAGGCTCAGTGAGGTAACACACTACCAGCATATATACAAATAAAAGGATGAGTTCAAGGCCAGCCTATTCTGCTTAGCAAGTTTGAGGTCAGCCTGGCCGACATGAGACCCCCGTCTTAATAAACTGAGACAGAGAGAGCAGGGATGTGGTGGGGGATGAGACACTGAGTTCCAGAAATAGTTACAATTGGTATGCTAATATTACGCTAATAACAACAATGTGCTAGTAGGATTTAAAGAGGAGGGGGAGGAGGAAAGGGGGGAGGAAGAAGAGTGTGGGGGGCGGGCAGAACACCCCTGCCTAGTGCAGAACCACTCACTGGATCATCTGCAGCCTACACCTGGGGTGCCGCAGGCCCTCACAGAGCAGTTCCAGGCCTGGCACCCCAATGCTGTTGCCACTGAGGTCCAGCCTGGTTAAATTCCTGTTGGTGATGAGAGCCGCTGCCAGGTCCTGGCAGGCTGATTCGGAGACCTGACACCTCTTCAGCCTGAGGTGAGAAGCAAGATGGAACCAAGTCATTACTTGGTAGCTGGGGTGGGATCCTCTGCCTTACATTTCTGTCTCTGTCTGTCTCTCTGCCTCTGCCTCTGTGTGTCTGAGTCTCTGTGTCTCTCTCTCCCTGTTTCTGTCTCTCTCAGTTTTTGGATTTTTGAGACAAAGTTTCTCTATGTAGCCCTGGCTGTCCTGGAACTGGCTCAGTAGACCAGGCTGACCTCCGAACTCACAGATGCTGGGATTAAATCTGTGCACCACCATACCTGGGTTGTTCCTCCCCCTTTTATCTGATATCAAATAAAGGAGAAGTTCCTAGCTCTTTGGCAGAGCCCTTGAACTGCACATTTCTAGTCCTGGGTTTCTATCCTCAGGACAAAGAAAAATAAATAAATAATTAGGGCTGGAGAGACGGCTCAGAGGTTAAGAGCACTGGCTGCTCTTCCAGAGGTCCTGAGCTCAGGTCCTAGGAACCACGTGGTGGCTCATTAACTATAATAAGATCTGATGCCCTCTTCTGGAGTGTAGGAAAACATGCAGACAGAATTATATATATATATAAAATAAACCTTTAAAGAAGGAAAGAAAATAAAGGAGACGGCTGTTAAAGCTTGGGTGGTAGTGGCGTAGTATGAGATTTTTCCTTCCAGATCAGCCAAGGCTACAGTGAGACTCTGTCTTAAAAACAAACAAACAAACAAACAAACAAAAAAAATCATAACAATTTTATGGGGGTCTAGATAGATAGTACAGTGAGTAAACTGAAGACCTGAGTTCTATCCTCAGCACCCAAGGGAAAAAAAATCCGGGTGTTGCTCAGTGGTAGAGCTTCTGCTTAGACCCCTCCAGTGAGGGGCTGGGGGTGCAGCTCAGTGGTAGAGCTCCTGCCTAGCACCTAGGAGGCAGAGGCAAGTGGATTCCAGGGGTAAGCTCCAGGTTCAGCTTCAGAGCTTGCTTCAAAATGTAAGGTTATGGGGCAGGAGAAATGGCTCAGTGGTTAGGAGCATGTATTGCTCTTGCAGGAGACCCATGTCAGGCATGGTCATACCTGCCTATAACTCTAGTTCTGGGTGATCTAATACCCCTCTGTCCTCCTCAGATGCAGACATGCACATTAATAATAATAATAATAATAATAATAATAATAATAATAATAAATGTTAGCATTCAGGCATCGGTACTGGCCTGCCCTTAGGGTCCCGATAGGATACATCCTCAGCTGCAGCCACTAAGAACACCCCTGTGTACTGTGCATTTGCTACATTCCCTTATAAAGGGCAGGCCCTGCCTGGCTCTCATCTCTTTCTCTTCCGTCGCTTTTGTCCCCAGGGACCAGTCTCTACCCGCTTCTCTGCCTCTTCTCTCTCCCCTCCCCTCAATAAACTTCCCATGTGGGCCGTGTTATATGGCATGACTCCTTGTCGCTTTAAAAATTCCAGAACAACAACAATAATAATAAAAATAAATGTTTTTAAAATGCTATAATACAGGCACTGGTGGCACACACCTTTAATCCCAGCGCTGAGGAGGCAGAAGCAGGCGGATCTCTGGGTTCCAGGCCAGTCTGGTCTACAGAGTGAGTTCCAGGACTGTTACACAGAGAAACCCTGTCTCAAAACAAACAAAAGTGGAAGGAGAGGCTGCCCATTGTAGTAAACTGCCACAGGAGCCATGGCACACAGATTCACCACCCTGTGTGTCCTTGGGTGAGCCTCATGGGAGCAGGTGGTGGGGACCACGAGAATCATGTTGCCAAGGCTGGGACTCACCTCAGGTTTTGAATCTTGCAGTTGGCATGTCTGAGGCCCTGGCAGAGCAGCCGCACACCCCGGCTGCCCAAGGCGTTGCGGTACAAGGCCAGCTCGATCAGGTTTGGGTTGGTGCAGACAGCTGCCGAGAGATGTGCACTGTAGACATCAGGAAGTGTGTTCCTCTCCTGTCTGTGTGAAGGCCGACATACAGTTTAGTAGTCCACATAATCATTATGGGTGACACAGAGATTTCATTCAACAGCTCAGGAAGCATCTTGGCCTTTGATAGACTATTTCTTTCCTCTTTGCTATTTTCAGGCTTATCTTAAACTCCAACAGTCTTAGATTATTCTTTAGTGTGTGTGTGGTCGGGGGTTGCGGGGGTGGGGGTGGGGGTGGGGGTTCTCATGTAGTCCAGGCTGGTCCTGAACTTGTTGTGTACCTGAGGATGGCCTTGAACTCCAGATCCTCTGTCCTTCACCTCCCAATTGCTGAGATTAAAGCCATATGAAGTATCGTGCATTATTTCAGAGAGACAGTTCTTTCATTTTATTTATCCATTTTGTCTTCCTTCCTGCTTTCCTTCCTTCCATCCTTCCTAACTTCATTATTTTTGTTTTGTTTTGTTTTGAGACAGGGTCTCACTATGTAGCTCTGGCTGTCCTGAAACTCACTATGTAGACCAGGTTAGTCTTGAACTCACAGAGAGAGAGAGAGAGAGAGAGAGAGAGAGAGAGAGAGAGAGAGAGAGACAGAGAGACAGAGAGAGAGAGAGAGAGAGAGAGAGAGAGAGAGAGAGAGAGAGAAATCCCCTTGCCTCTGCCTCTTGAGTGCTGGGAATAAAGGCGTGTGCCACTATGCCACCTATCTTGTTTTGGCTTTCAAGACAGGATTTCTTTGTGTATCCCTGGCTGTCCTGGAACTCTCTCTGTAGACGAGGCTAGCCTCAAACTCAGAGATTTGCTTGCCTTTGCCTCTGGAGTGCTAGGATTAAAGGCACGCACTTTTTTTTTTTTTGTAACAGATTCTCCCTATCATGAGCCCCAGCTTAGTACCAGTGAATATTGCTTAAGGGTATGTAGGTCCCAGCTCTTGCACTATTGGTCTTTTTTGTTTTTGTAGGGACAACCCTGCATGTTTGGGGGACCACCTTGTATGGACCCACTAGGTATTTAGGGGCCATCTTAAATTTGTCAGGAACCACCACCATAAGGCAGGCTGCCTGTGTGAGCAGATTAGAAGCATCTCCCACCTCTTACCACTAGATGTCAGTAGTATCACCCGGCTTCCCGGTGTGACAACCAAAACAATCCCACAGATTTCCTGGATGTCTGTCTGAGGGCTTGGGTGAGAGGCAACGAAATCCTTGGCTGGTGGTCGTGGTGACTCACACTTGTAATTCCGACATCTGAGAGTCTGAGGCAGGAGGACTGACAGAGTAAGACCTGGTCAAAACAAGCTGGGCATTGTGGTGAATGCCTGTAATTCTAGAGCTTGGGAGGTGGAGGCTAGAAGATCAGGGGTTCAGCATCAACCTCTGCTACATGTTGAGTTGTTGACCAACTTGGGCTACATGAGACTCAAAAAAAAAAAAAAAAAAAAATTGGGCCAATGAGATAGCTCAGCATGTAAAAAAAAAGTTTGCTACAGCCGGGCGGTGGTGGCGCACACCTTTAGTCCCAGCACTCGGGAGGCAGAAGCAGGCAGATCTCCGTGAGTTCGAGGCCAGCCTGGGCTACAGAGTGAGTTCCAGGAAAGGTTCCAAAGCTACAGAGAAACTCTGTCTTGAAAAACAAAAACAAACAATAAAAGTTTGCTACATAAGCCTGACACTTGAATTTATGAATCTCCAGAATCCACCTGGAGGCAGAGGACCTGCTTCTAAAAGTTGTTTTCTGACCTTTACACCTACATTCAAGACAGACAGACAGACAGACAGACACACACACACACACACACACACACACACACACACACACACACAGAGGATGCAGAAAGAGACAGAGCCTGCCAGGCGGTGGTGGCGCACACCTTTGATCGCAGCACTCTGGAAGCAGAGCCAGGTGGATCTCTGTGAGGTTGAGGCCAGCCTGGGCTACAGAGTGAGTTCCAGGAAAGGCACAAAGCTACACAGAGAAACCTTGTCTCGAAAAACAAAAACAAAAAACCAAAAAAAAAAAGAAGAAAGAAAGAAAGAACGAAAGAGACAGAGCTTGTAGGTGGTGGCACACACCTTTGATCCCAGCACTCAGCAGAGGCAGAGGCAGGTAGATCTCTTGAGTTGGAGGCCAGCCTGCTCTACAGAGTGAATTCCAGGACCACCATGACTACACAGAAAAGTCCTGCCTTGAAAGAGAGAGAGAGAAACATGGCGACACACACATGGCATGGACCACATGGCATGGACCACATGGCGACCATTGCTGCCTCACAGAGTTCCAGCATCTCAACATTGCAGACCACAACTCTCCACCACCTTTTAATTTTCTATTTAATAGCTCTCACTATGTGTTATGGAGTTTCCTTATGCCTTTTCCTTTGGGAATTTTGTCTGAGATTTGATATAGGATGAGACTATCTACAATGGCAGTCTCTTTAAACAAAATAATTCTTTGGAGAGAATCCCCGCCACTGTGGAACTATCTAGTCTGATAACTGGCCCACTCCCCATACAGGACCTCCCATTGTGCCCCTCCACTCCCAATCACAGCAGGAATAGAGAAGATAAAGATTTACTGACTGCACCTATCTGATCCCAGGGATGAAAAAACACACATCAGAGAGAAACAATGGCCCCAGCCCCAGAGCCTGAGGCCATTAAGGGCAAAGGCTCAGTTAATAAGTATAGAGTAGTATCTATGATCAGAGACTTACTGGATGAATGGCAAGATCTGGTCTGCCCCACGGGGAGCAGATTCCACTAAGAAGTTAGACTGAGGGCTGGAGAAATGGTTCAGCAATTAAGAGCACTGGCTGTTTTTCCAGAGGACGTGGATTCAATTCCCAGCCACCACATGGCAGCCTGTCACTCGAGTTCCAGGGGATCCAACACCCTCACACAGACATACATGCAGGCAAAACACCAATGCACATAAAGTAAAAAATAAATAAATCATTTGGAAAAAAAAATAAGATGTTAGAATGGCTTGATCTCCCTCTGCCATACACAGAACATACGGAGCAAGGTAACAGGACCTGCTTAAGAGGGAAACAAGCCCATATTGTAAGAC